AGATTTTGTGAGAAATTGGCATGGGAAATGACAAAATTGTGAAAGCAAAAGACATGCATGGCTTCGATTTAAGTCTTTCAGGCACCTAAGGATCTATAGGAGCAGAGATTTGCCTTGAGAAAGAGTGAGAGAGACAGACAGACATATGACACTCCCCAATCTCTTCATTGATTTCCATGTTTAATTGAAATTTGAGCAAATACTTACATCCTGTTTCCGTTTAGTCCAGATAAGAATGATAATCACCATGACAGTTTCATTTATTTCTAAATTCATTGGTCTTAAATGAAGATAAGATTTAATATAGCAATATAAAATCATTTTTGATGTATTTCTCTATCTTTTACTCTTAACAATTTTAATATTGAGATTAATTTTCCAATATATTTATCTATTTTAAGAAAATGCTATTTTCTCAAATAAAAAATAGTATTTATTGATTTCTCCGTATATATATAGTTATAAATATTATTTTTCAATATTAGAATAGCGTGTTAGGATAAAAACAATTTGACAATAAAAAAAAATTAGGCGCACGATAAATAATGCATTTATAAAATTGGAATTCCGTAATATTTTAGGTGAAAGAGAGAAATTTCACCCGTCAATTAGATTGGATTGTCTATTTAGGTTAAATTGCAGATAATATTCCATACATGACAAACAAGACAATCCTTGAATGCTTAGCCTAAAGACAGCATTTCGAGGTTGGGGTCCTGGAAGGAATACTCGTCCTAGTACTAAGAAATATAAAAGACAAATTCACCGTTACCTAATTGAATAGCGGATCATATTTTACACATGACAAACGGGCCAAAATCCTTAAATAATCAGCAAAAAATCAAATTTTAAAGTCGAAATTCCAGAGAAATACTCATACTCTGGAAAAAAATGAAAATAAGAAAAATAAACAGAAAAGAGCAATTGTATCCATCTCGACTCGGGCTTGAACAATAGAGAGAACAATTGTTGAGAATACATTTTTTTCTTTTGGGTTAGGCGAATGGTCTGTTACCACATATCACACGACACATTGGGATACTTAGCATTATTGGTGGAGCTTATATCCTAACAAAATCCCTAGAGGAGTTTGGACCATAAAGTACAACGGTCCACTATCAGGTGGTGAAATCCACGTCCATACATGATCTTGGGTGGTGTATTTCGCCACCAGGAAAAAGTGGAATCTGGTACCGGGTATTTATAGAAACCAAAGTCGGGCACCACCACCTGGAGATGAAGCACGTGGCCCAAGTCCTCGTATCAAGTACTCGAGTTAGGTAAGAAATATCTTTCAAAGAGATAGCAAGTTCATTCTTTCATATCTTAAAGCT